CCCACCACACCCCTGAAAGTTAATTTTTAAACATTCACGGAGCACACCAGTATCAGAAACTCCGTTTGTTCATCTGGAAAATGAGAACCTAATATATTTTGTACCTATATTTTTGTGCGGGTAAAATGAGACCACGGGGGTGAGTGCAGCTTGTAAATTACATGCCCCGGTACAAGTATTATCGCCGGTTCTCTCACTGGTGGGTGTTGTTTTCTAACCAGGCAGGGCCTGGCGTAGCCTTACGCAGGCAGCAAACCCTGCGGACCTCGTAATGCTTATTCAGTGCTCATCACAGGTATTCTGCTGATTTTCCCTTTACCGCGGCACCCTGGAGCCACCTAAGGGCTGATGTGCGTGCCCAACCGGGAGGTGGTTCTGAGGGATTTCTGGCGTTGGAATGGCTGCTGCACTTTGGTCAGTCATGCAGAAATCAAGGTTTCATTTGGTTCCAGGGACAGCGAAGCCGCAGAGAGAATTCTGCGGGCTCTTTCCGGCCAACAGCTCACAATCGCTCTGAGAAGTGTGCAGCCGGAGTCACTCTCGGGGTGTGGAAAATGTGGGTGATCCCCTGCGGGTTTCCCATTTGGGGAATTTCCGCCTTGACAACTGCTTCGGGGCTCCTGCGGAGACCAGGTGCTTGGAGCAGTCAGGCAGCAGCAGGTATAGGAAAGGAGGCGGTCGGTGTTCTCAGCTCAGCCCAAAAAGACTGGAGGCTCATATCTATATATTAGTGGATCAAGGATTAGGAGGACAGCAGGTTTCTCGGTGCCTGCCCTAGGCATCCTGTGGGCTGCCCACCCTGCTGTGTCAGTTGGCGGCCTTCTCTGACACTTCAAGACTTCTTGGTCTTTCTGAGGTTTTCTGGTGTTGGGATAGATACGGAACGGTGGCCGGTCAAATGGCAATCAAGGCTTACTGTGATTCCAGGAAGAGTTTTTACCAAATTTTACCGATTTTTGCCAAATTTCTCCTGTACGGCGTTAGGTTAGGAAGCCCAAGCACAGTCTACTCTGGGGCCCACACCCAACCCACCGGGACCTGGTGACACGCTGCCAGACTCCAACATGTTGCCCCACATGTAAACCCTTGTTACCCATGTTCTTTACAAAATGAAGGCCCAGTAAATAAAGACCCTGTAAAGAAAGACCCACAAAAACCCCCTAGGAAGATCAAAGTAGGGTTCACTGATGTGCGTTGTTAGTCACCCGACAGTCAGCTTTGTTAAACCATAAGAGCTCACTCAGCGAGGTGCTTTGTACCAACGTGTTCTCGGGGCTCCTCAGGGCCATGTCACTTCCCGTCACTTGCTCCCCAAGTAAGAGGTACATTTATTTGATGAAGTAATCCACATTTGAATGGAAGAGATGTTGATGACATTGCTATGTCCCGTCTTTGGACCTGCCCCAGATGCTCGCTCCCAAGATGGACAGATGTCCCCATATTTTTTTTTTACAACTTAACTGTCTCATTGCACCAATCAGTTTGCTATCCTGTGAGGCGGACAGACAACTTCGGTAGCACCCGTCTCCCTACATTTATGTCTAGACTGTGGAAAACAAAATAGATGAGCAATCCGTGAAAATGACTAGTTTACGAAAATACTTGCTTTTAGGAAAGTTGGGCTTATTAAAAATGGCACCAGACTGAGAATTAGAAGATCGGGGGGACAAATGCTATTGTCTTTGGCCCTCACGCAGGTTACTTTTTATCTAGGTCCTCGGCACCCTCCTCTCTAAAGTGAAGAGTTTTGACGACCCTAAGTTGCTTTCTCTCTCCTAGGCATTCTCTAATGCCAAGTTTATGCAAATTTCCTTGGCCTTTGGCCAGATTTTGACTGCAGAGGCCAGAAAAAGGGAACGAATTCTGAGACAGCAGTTGTTTTTGAACAACTGTCCAGTAAAACCTTTACATGTCCAGTAAAACCTTTCAAAAAACGAAGAGTCCCCAAATTAAGCTACCTTCAGAAACCCTCCTATTAAATTTAATATCATCCTCTGTCCTTTCTGCCTTCCTATCTGACTCTATCATCTCCCTGCCAACCAGAAAGAAAAGAAAAAAAAAAAAAAAGAAAAGAAAAGAAAAGAAAAAAAAGAAAAGAGAAGTATCTCATGTTTTCTTCCTCTTTTGTTCTTAAAAAATGGCCTGTGATCACTTCCTCTTCTTCCTTGGCTGGATCATGTCACCTGCACAATGAAGAACAGAGAGAGAGAGAGATCAGACTTCAGGGTTTCCCTAATGGGTATTCTTGTGTGAATAGACATTCACTGTGCCTTGGGCCAGTGGAAGATCAAGGGCAATTATCCCAAGGCAAGTAGATGCACTTTACGAAGTTCTGAAAACCTACCACCTCTCCAGAGAGGGGAAGAAGTGACTCTGTTGTCCCCATTTGGTGCTTGGCTCACAGCTAGCCTGTTGACCAATGGTTCCATTTGCCTTCAAGGCTTCTGCACGTCTAATGTGCACCGACTGATGTCGCTTTTGGTCAAGTCTTTACAGGCGGCACACCACCCATCGACTAACTCGGAGATTGTTGCAAACGGAGATGAAGAGACATCAAATTAGAGGAGAAATAGAAGAGTGGCTATTCACCTATTTAGGGTTCATTCTGCAACCTCTCATTGAATCGCCTTATCAGAACGGAAAAGCACTGGCATATTAGATTCTAGTAAGCTCTTGAGAGGGGCATTCTTCTACTGAAATTATAGCATTAGAGTTCTAGAATCACTTCCATTCAGCCAGGTTGGTACCTCCGTCTTTATTGATCATACGTCTTCACACAAGCTCTGAAATGTCTAACACCTCACGAATGCATTATCCTTTCCACCTGTTGCCAAATGTTAACAATCTTACTTTGAAAACTTTTCTCGAGTCAGCCTCTCCTTGCCCATTCCAGAGCCCTGTGAGTTCTGGCTTTGTGCCACAGCGACCTCATGCCCCTGGTTTCATGCTTCAGCCTTCAGATTCTGCCCCCTCCATCAATTATATCCTTAAATATCTTCTAATAATTTTATTTTGCCAGAAGTCCCCTTCTCAGAGGCTGTAGTGACTGATGACCTGAAATCCCCCTTATCACACTGGTTTTCTAGGACAGCAGACTCCTAATCACACAGCCTTTGGGGCCATCCTGCATTCATGTCTCTCAACACTTAAGGACAGTCCTCTCTCTTATTCTTCTGCTCATCAATCCAGATACCCTCAGTCACTCCAGAGAAGCCTTCTTAATATATCCAGCTTTACAGGCTTCATGTCATTTTCATTTATGATCTCACTTATTTTTCATTTTCCATGTAGATTCTCTCCTCCCCAGGTCCCTGACTACAAACAAAGGACCTCCTCTTTTCTGAAGCGTACCCATTTTGTCTGTAATGAATCCTTTTTCAGCTAAATGACACATTAATTCCTTCCTGTTCAAGATCTTGGGCAACATAAGCTTCTCACCTTGGTCCCCCCGCCTCCCGCAGTCCCTTTGAAGGTTCCTAAAACTCTCTTTATCCATGCTGTTTACCAACCCCCCAGCCCCTCAAGTGTAACTGTAACCATAACCATACTTCTGCAACCCCAGTTGCCAATGATTGGAGAGTCCTTCTCCATTTAAGAAACACGCCAGAGGGGTGCCTGGGTGGCGCAGTCGGTTAAGCGTCCGACTTCAGCCAGGTCACGATCTCGCGGTCCGTGAGTTCCAGCCCCGCGTCAGGCTCTGGGCTGATGGCTCAGAGCCTGGAGCTTGTTTCCGATTCTGTGTCTCCCTCTCTCTCTGCCCCTCCCCCGTTCATGCTCTGTCTCTCTCTGTCGCAAAAATAAATAAACGTTGAAAAAAAAATTTTTTTTTTTTAAAATAAAAAAAATTAAAAAAAAAAGAAACACGCCAGAAACTGAAGACTTCAAAGAGCCCAGGAGCGGAAGTGGTGGCAGGAAGTTCCTTTGTGGGAAGAGCGCAGGTGGCTCTTTCTCCTGGATCAGAATCTCCCACGTCTAACACTAAACAGCTAGACGGAACACTGAGACATTTGCACATACCCACAAACACATTAGAGAAGGCATCGAGTATGTCTCTGTGTGGACTTCCAACAATCATTTCTTCTGTAGTGACCTCCGTGGTGTGAACATCACAGAAACCATATTTTTCTTTTTGTTTCTGGCAGGTAGGGGTGGGTCCTTAGTCCTGAATTCTCACGGAACTGAGAGGTCTCTAGGCTTCGTTGAATGCTCAGAATTGGTCTCTGACCACCATTCCACAGCACATGGCTGGAGATAAAGGAACCGTTGACTTAGTAACGGATAGCATTACCTTACGCGAAGTTCACAACAAGGACTCCAAATTCTGACCGGGAAACCATGTTTGTTATCGGTCTTTTCTTCGTGGCAGGACAGTTCTTCCCGTGGGATGCCAACTAGGAGTTGGCAGGGAGTTAGGGAGCTACGTCCACCCCTGCCTCATGTTAGTCCTTTCTTAATCTTCTGTTAGATAGTACCAAGGAGTAGAGACATTTTAGGCCAAGCATTTAACGTTTGTCTTGTGCAAGATCCAAACGTTTTCTGCCGTCATGGCAAAAAAAAAAAAAAAAAAAAAAAAAAAAAAAAAAAAAAAAAAACATTCTTTTAACCAACATCACTATGGATACCATATGTAATTATATTCCTTATTATTCCAATAGTCAGAAAACAGAGTAAGGAAAAACATTATATTCACAAAGATTTACACCTATGTATCTACAATCACAAAAGCTACTGCTGCTAGACTTTGAACTGAAAACTTGAAGAATATTTGCCTAGTTTATGCGGGTTGGCTTGGAAAAGGGTGAGAAGGCAGATGGCTGGGGAGATGGGAGGTGTTAGAAGAATGAGGTTTGCACATGAATGAGTAAAAGTTTCAGTGCAGACGTAGCAGGAAGGCGACGGATTCGAGGTTCTGGCTGGAGAAACCCTCGTGAGGAAAGAGGCAGTGAAAGGAGGAGAAGCAATAATCCAGTTTGGACTCTGTTTGAGCTGAGGGAGATGAAATCAGGGCGAGAAAGGCAAAAAGGAGATGCAATTTTGTTGTTGACTGAATGCTGCTCCTGTGAGACCACGCTTTAGAAATACATACGGACTGGGGCGCCTGAGTGGCTCAGTCAGTTAAGCCTCTGACTTTGGCCCAGGTCATGATCTTAATGCTCGCAAGTTCGAGCCCCACGCTGGGCTCTGGGCTGACGGCTCAGAGCCTGGAGCCTGCTTCGGAGTCTGTGTCTCCCTGTTTCTCTTCTCCTCCCCCGCTTGTGCTCTGTCTCACTCTCTCGAAAATGAACAAACATTTAAAAAAATTAAAAAAATAAAAAGAAACGTATATGGAGTCATCTGATAAGATTCTTTTGTGAGGAAATGATCAGGGGCAATATGCAAGATAGAAAAAAATCGCAAAGCAAATATCTTCATGTATAAAAGTAAAGAGGTAGACTTGATGGCCTCTAAGCAGCTTCAACAATGAAATCTCCCTTTTAAAATATCTGGTCTACAGGGGCCCCTGGGCAGCTCAGTCGTTGAAGTGCTGGGCTCTTGATTTCAGCTCAGGTCACTACCCCAGGGTCATGGTATCACCCTGAGTCGGGCTCTGTGCTGAGTGTGGAGTCTCTCTCTCTCTCTCTCTCT